TGGCTCGCTTCAACCCCCTTCTCCCTCGGGTGGAATAACTTACTTACGACGCAATTAATTCGCCCGTGTAATTACGAGGCTAATGGCCCGTAAAATTAAGAACCTGTACCTGGCTCTCGAGCGTGTTGTACGCGTTCTGCCACCCCCTTCGTTCCTCCTCCTCCTCCTCCTCTTCTCTCTCTCTCTCTCACGCGCGCCTGTCTCGTTTCAATCCCCTACTCCTGTCTTATTCACTTTCTGCGCCCCTAGCCCTGTCTCTCTCTTTCCCTCCTGCTCACACTCCAATTCGCTCCCTCGCGCAAAATCGTATATATATATATATATATACAACCGTCGCTCGTGCCCTCTCTCTGGAGTGTACTCGGCTAGACTCGATTAAGTTTATCGCGATTAACGATAATTAATAACGCGTTACCGCGGAAAGTGCAGAGCCGCATACCGAGAGGAGAGGAGAGGGAGGATATAGTTCAACGCCGTGCTCGTTCTCGAGATTAATGGTAGCCGGGGATGTTAATGACGCAAGGAGGGAGGCGGTGATGAGGGACAGGTGGTGGCCAAGCGATGTTTCTCTCTTTCTCTCTCTTTTCTCGATCGAGAGGAAGTGAAAGGGGAGAAAGAAAAATAGGAGAGAAAGAAGAGAGAGAGAGAGGGAAAAAAGTAACAACGAAGGAAGACGCGGACGAATCTGGCAAATGATGTTAAATTGCCGGCACTGAAGAGACGCCGCTGCGGCCACCGTATGGACACGATGCTAAATGACCGCGCGCCGGTGAGACTTCGGAGTTGACTGTTAAGTAATGACGCTACAAAACGGTCTCTTCGGTAAAATGCTCGTTTACCGTAATTATGACCGCCTCATCGCGGCCCCGCTAACGACCGCCGTTGATAGCCGATGAAAGACACTTCGCATCGGGAATTCTAGGAGTTCCCCTCGATGTCGTAACGCAGCGGACCCGACGCGATATTATTATTTTCGTCGAGCCTCGTTTCCGTTTTAAATGATCGCGAAAGGTTTTTTTTTCGGGAGCGTGTAATTTTTTTATTATCTTTAATAACGAGATTAAAGAGATCAATTTTTATTTCATATCATCTAGCTTTTAAATTTTTGGATATCTTCTTAATTCTCTAATTTCTAATTGTTGTTGAACTTTTTTAGTTTCTTTAGTTTCTTTTTCTTTTTGTAGTAATTTTGACGGTGTAATAGAAATTTAACGTTTTGCAATTCCGTGAAAGATTCTTGTGTATTCTTTCTATTTTAGTAATATTACAATTGTGTGTATAATCGTGGATATTATGTGAAAGTTAATTATTGTCATCGCTTCGAAAAAGTAATTATAAACGAAGAAAATGAGAGAATATTATGTGGACGTAAAGCAGTTGAATTTTTATCTTTCTTCTTTCGTTTTTTTTTTTTGATGTGTTTCTGCAATATTATGAATTTTCCTTTATCATCGGGAAAACATAGCGCCGGGACGTTATGCAACCTATTACCGCCTGTTATTTCTACTAAAAGCATCAAAATGACGAAACGATTGTATAATGACATTGTACGTAATGAAAGTGCATATTTTTGAAATAACGGACCCCCGTCTAACACATGACGCTTAATTTACATTAAATCCAACTCTCGTAATTCTCGAAAATAAATCTTGAAAAATTCACTTTTTTTACTTTATCTCTATTACCTTACACTTTTCTCCTTAAACCCATTCGCGTGCTCGACAGATTTCAGAGTTCAGTATCATTACAAAATATAATTAATCCTGAGCAGAGTTATAAAAGTTATCCATATATTAAATTTCCCATCCCTTATTTGCAAGATACACGTATTCTGCGCGTACATAAATTTGGATTATCATTGTAATTACTAATTTGACATAATCTCATGGATACAGCGAAAAAACATTGCATTCGAGTTAGAACGAAGAGATACCATATACGCTCCGTGTATCCATATTTAAAGTTGAAATTTTAAAAAATTAAAAACTAAATCTCCAACTCACTAATTTATTCAACTCACTTTTCCTCTCGTTTCCTCCTTTTTTCTTTTATTTTCTCTCTCTTCACCAAGTTCCTCCTCCTTTAAAAATGTTGCTCGAATTTTCTCGTTTCCTTTTTTCCTTCCTTTCCTATTTTTCCTATTTTATTCATTTACGACGATCACGATCAACTGATTCACATTCTCTCTGTTGCAGTACTACGAGATGTCGTACGGGCTAAACGTGGAGATGCACAAACAGGTAAATTTCACTACTACTCCTTTTCTTCAAAGTTTCTTCATCGTCGTCTCTCTCAACACGCGACAACATTGTCTCACCACGGGAAATTAACACGCAAACCGTTCGTTGTATTCTTTTTCCTTCTCTGTTTGGCGACAAGCCTTTGCCATCCATTCGCTCTCTTCGAGACCCCGCATCGGTTAACGTCGCGTGTTTACCCGAGTCATTAAAGAGGGATATAAGTTTGTCCCACGTACACGGCCGAATAAACATTTGCCTCCGCGTGATGACTCCGCGACGCACGGCCAACGATATGCCATTTTCGATTCACTTTGTCGACTGATCATCTCGAGAGGAGGGGGGACATTTTGCGCGTTCGATGAATCGATTCGTGTGTATTTCCTTTTGTATAATTTTTTTTTTTATTGAATGCTTGGAACGAAAGCACTACGATTTTTATCGTTTCTTTATGAATCAAAAATATTAATTGGAGGAATTGGAGGAAAAAATACGTTCTGTATTTATTAATTAATATCGTTTAACTCGATGTCGATCCAGATTTATTAGAAATATGTAGGAAAAATATTTGTATCGCACAAGAGATTAAAAATACAAGGCTTGATCGAAAAGCTTGATAATCAATGAGGCTTATAAAGATTTGCCGATCTATCTGCAAACAGATAAATTATTTTTTCCTTTACACTTCTTAATAACCTTAATTTACTTCGTTATCTATTACGACTTATTAGAATTTATCATTTTACTCAACTTATCGTCAAGTTCGAAAGTCTTAAGATATATTTATACATTGTATCAAAATTGAAGATACGAAATTTGATCATCGAGATTCACTAAATAGGATAGATAGGTTTAACGATAAACAATTGCAAAAAGATAACACGGAATTTTACATTGCAGAATTATTTCTTGATAATCTTTCAACGATCAATCAATCTTCTTCCGAGACGAAATAAAAACTTTTCTTATTAACTTATTATCTTAACTTATTATCCAATCCATTTTCACACTATCGACACTGCGTACAATCCCCACAATAATCCTTAACACTTTTATTCTTTTGCATATTTCGAAATCTGGAAAAGATTAATATTAGAAATTTGATTGGAACTTAACTTAACTTTTAACAAATATAAAAAGCAAAAAAAAAAAAA